AAATATATATTATATCTTAAATGTATAGTGTATATATCTATAATATATAATGCTCCTATTTAAATGTACTTATATTTATAAATACGTATAAATATGTTTAGTTTTATAAATATAGAAATATTGTATATTTATAAATAAATAAACATGTGTATAATGTTTATTATGAGGGAAATGTTTTATAAATATTAATATGACTTTATAGTAGATACTTTGCAGTAATCTGGAAAAATTCATTTTATTAAAATTGGTTACATCCACTTATATTTATTCCTAGGTATTTCTTCTTTTCAATGACTATTAAATTCAAAATGATGTCAGAATCAACAAAGCTCAACTTTAAATCACAAGCAGAAAAACATAACTCTATAACACACTTTTGGTTTTCTTTAAAAATGGTTTTGTGGAAACAAATTGCAGAGATATTTTCTGAGGAATTAAGCATTATTCCTTAGTTGGAGGCCTATAAATCCTCATCCTTTGACAGAGGATTGAAGTACATTTTGCCAAGCTTTTGGAGTTTCTGTTTAGCCTCTTGTACGGAACTATATGCATATGAAAAGTTGCAACCCAGAAATAAACACAAAGCCCTAGCCAGCTAAGCTGACCAATTCTAGAAATGGTTGACAAATATTAGGTACAATCTGGTCTTTAACTTTAACACAGAATGGTTTCAATAAAATATTTTCCAACTCAGTCCTTTTTTTTTCAGTCCTTTAACATGATTCTAGTGTAAATCTCTATTATCTCCTTCTTATGGGGGTTAAGATGTCCTTTTGGCATAGAAACTTAGGGTTTACATTTTCTTTTCAGTGTCTTTTAGTGACTTCTCCTTTTCTGATTCCCTTCAAACACCAATGCCCTCAAGGGTCTGACTGCATGACCCAAACAGTCTCCTCCAGACTGATGACTCTCAAACCTGTAGCCCCATCTCAGCCTTTCCACAACTTCCAAATGGCAAATCCAACTCACTGCAGAGCATCTCCCTCTGAATGTCCCCAAAACACCTCAAACACAAAAATCCAAAGTGGAATTCTTAGTTTTTTTCTTCCAATCGCATTCTTCATCCTGTATTTCCTTGTCTTGGTGAATTTTACTGCAATCTAGTCAATCAAACAATCTTGCAATTTACACATGATCCTTTCTGTTCCTTCTCTCTGAAATGTTCACATCCAATCAGTCAACAATTTGTATAAATTAAACATCACCTCAATTCGTTTTTCCTAAACCTCATTGATACCTCCTAAAATCAGGCCTTCATCACTTCTAACTTAGACCATTATAATGTTTCTTAACTTATCTCTATTGACTTTATTCTCATACCTCTTCATTTTGTCTTTCCCAAAGCTGTGAGGGTTCACAAGTGCAAATTTTATCTTGTTTCTCTCCTCTTATTCTGCTTAAAAAGCTTGAATGGCTCCTTCTAGCCCAAATCACAGAACTCAGAGGTCCATAAGTGGCTAGGGAAATATAACATCTAACTGAAGAGTAAGTGAAATTACAGGATTAACAACCCATGTCCCTAGAGGATTAGAGTTATCTCATTGTAACTGAAATACATTCATTTTATTTTAAAACAAACTTGATGGAGTAGAAGGCCAGATTCAAATGAATTTAAAACTTCAAAGAATTCCACTTGTAGCAGGCAGATTAAGCTGAAAGTCCATACTTCTCTGATATTAAAGATGCTTTGGAGAAATCTAGCACAGTAGCTAACATATATGAACAAATTTTTAAAAGTATATCGAATGAATGAAAATCTACATAGTAAAAGTAGGAACCCCAATGACTTTAGCCCTCTTAGCCCATTATTATTGGTTCTCTCTTCTTTTACAAATATTATTCTAGTAGTTTGATCACTCCCATCTTCGTATCAATTATCACAGCTGGAAGTTATGGGATACTCTTCTCCAGTAGTTCTGACCTACAGTTATTCAGCCTTTCTCCAAACAGGTACAGTAACAGAGCATCATTATCAAATAATCCATCTTGATCCACTGTCAGAAGCTTCTTTTTTTTTTTGAGTTGAATTCTCACTGCTGACCTGCTGGGCTCTGGCGATCCTTCCGCCTCAGCCTTCCAAGTAGCTGGAACTACAGGCGCACGCTACCATGCCCGGCTAATTTTTTGATTTATTGTAGAGATGAGGTCTCACCTGCCCAGGCGGGTCTCGAACTCGTGGGCTCAGGTAATCCACTCACCTCAGCCTCCCAAAGGTGCAGGATTACAGGCTGAGCCACCGAGCCCGGCTAGAAGCTTCTTTTTTATATTGAGTTGGAAACTGAAGATAATATAACAATTCCCTTTTAGGATAATGATCAGTTGTGGTGTTACATCTCTCAGCTTAAGGATTGAAAAGAAAACACCACTGAATTCAAATTGTGAAAAAGGAACAGTTTCAAAAACAAAAAAGCAACGGTAGAAACAATAACAGGAACTTCATAATAATCTGATAAAAGCGGAAAAATCAGATGCTGCCTGCTCTCCCAAGTCAACAGAGACAGCATGAACTCTAACATCTTGGAACCAAAGGAGGGGACACACAAGAAAACGCTTTGTGAAAATGTACAGGTACACTGTAAATTCTCACTTTTATAGCGCTCCGTGATACATACAAGGTTCATGCCATTATCTTCATTTTTAATTCAATGAAAAAATTCCAGGAAGCTAAATCATCTCTGATTTAACCAAATAAAGGTTCTCAAGACCACTTCACTAGTAAGTGATGGAGCTAGGAGCATAAGACACATTGCGGTAACATCTGGGGAAGAATCAGGTTTATCTGGATCTCAGTAAGTCTTCAATAACTCATCTGGGGCATCCTGTAATATCTCACAGACTACACACTTCATCTTTTCCCAAAAGTTCAGAACAGAAGATGTGTAGAGGAAGGCATAAGTAAAAGTAAAAGAAAGCTCCGGTGCATTTCATATTTATTTTAAAAAATTTAACCAGGGAGGATTTCTTTTTTAAATGTTAGGAGAAAAATGGGTAAAAGTTAATTTTGTTAAGGTTTTCATTTTAATATTAAGAATTAGTTTCTAAAAGACTTTTCTGTGGTAGTGATTTCCTTGCGCAAGTCTATAAAATAAAATATAACTTGCCATTAGCCCTTGGTGGAAATAATGGTGCATTTTAAATGCCAAACCCAAAAAACAGACCTTGTCCATGAGGTCTAAGTTAACTTTAGTGCCTGTGCAGATGTCAGGAAGAGACTCACAGACATAGCCTCTTCCCAACACCAAAAATAGCTAAGCCCAGGCCCACGTGGATGCTAATGCAGGCCACCAGAAAATAATAACCCAAATGATTCAGACTATAGAGCTTCAGTGATCTTGAACACAGCATTGGACTGAACAACAAACTAGTCTTGAGGGTGTTGAGTAACAAATAAAGTCCAGGGGCAGGACCAGCTATGATACCCAATCTACAAAGCACCCATCCTTCCTTCAGATTGAGACAGTTATCTGTCTGCTGGTGAAGAATTGCCGGCCTCAGAATTCTGACAGAAACCACTGCCAAATGATCATGTTTCTCTAACTACTAATGCTCTGTTTAGATGTTACCAATCCACATCATTCCACATTTACCTGTAATAGTTCTATGAACTTGAAATTATGAAATGAGATCTACAGGATCCTCCTCCTCAAGTGCCCCCATGCCAGTACATACATAAATCTCCTGCAGTTCATCACAGCATGTGAAGTGAATAAAAACTCAAAATACAAACCAGTGTGTGTGGCAAGTGATCTGAATTGTGATTAAACAATAAAAAAGAATGTCATCAAAACAGACAGGGAGACTAACTTTTTTTTTCCTTTATACAAAACTTCAGCATTTTAAACATGTTTCAACAGCATGAGTTAGTTATATAATTAAAAAGAAAGCTATTGACCTATATACACTAAAAACCTTAGTAGCTTTGTCCTACATAATTTTAAAATTAAGGGTTTCTTCTTTTGTTGAATACTAATATTTTGGATTACAACTTTCTTCCACCATGTTTCATTTGTTAAAAAAAAAAAAACTTTTTCAAAAAAGATGTATCTCAGTTCAAATTGCACAATGTTTTAAACGTGTGTGTGTGTGTGTGTGTGTGTGTGTGTGTGTTTTCTGGAAATATATAACCTTTTGACAGAGATGGATCAAAACAAAAACATTCGTATCCTTCTAACTTTTATCTTTTATAAGTCACAAATGATATACTACATTGAAGTTGTTCCACTTGCATTTGTCATTGAAGATACAGTTGTTTTCATAAAATGAAAATCAAAGTGAAAACAGCATGTAATTTAACTGTAAAGTTTAATATAACAGTACTAAAATTATACTTTCACTACACAATAGCACTAGCTACCATTTGCTGGTCACCTACAAAATGTTAGCCACTGTGCTACACACATTAGTTATGTCTTCAATCCTCTCCAGAACCCTGCATGTAGTTACTGTCTATGCTATCTCACAGGTTAAGAAAGGGAAGTAGTATACCATTAATTTGCCTGCAGAAAAGCGCCCAACTTGTAAATGGCAAATTTTATCACCAAAAAAGCCAACGGTCAGGCTTTTTCCAGTACAAACTAATATATCCTACACTAATGCAGAACCATAATGGATGTTGATGAATATGTGTTTCAGGTAACAATACTATAAAGTGTGAAGTGCTAATTTAGTAGTGCACAGTATATAAAAGTAGACTTTTTAGCACATAATTGGGGAAAAAATATCTGTCATCAAAAAACCCGCCTATGCAGTAAATAAAGTCTCATCCCCCTCCCAAAGTTAACCCAATGTATTTTTCAGTGTTATGGACTGGATTGTGTCCTCCTAAATTCATTTGTTAAAACCCTAATTCCCAATGTCATAGGGCCTTTGGGGGGTAATTAGGTTTAGATTGAGATAATGAGAATAAGGCCATTATGATGGGATTAGTGCCCTTATAAACAGAAATATCAGTATCCTCAATTGCAGATGTGACAAAA